TTTTTTATAGGAGGGTGGGGGATATCGGAGGGTAACTCCCTATAATTTTTTTATTTTTTTTTTTCATGAATAATATTTGTTTTTAATTAAAAACAACAAAAAAAAATCCACCAGCCAAAATAAGCATTTTGTTTTGCTATTTTGTAGGTCATTTCGATTTATTTTTTTTTTCAATGTCACCACACTGTGGGGCTTGAGGGGAATGTACCTGGGGGAGCCCGAAAAAAAAAAAAAAAAAAAAAAAAAAAAAACACTCTTTAGTGGTCGGCCCGTTCTCTGTGAACGGCCGTTCACAAAAAAAACACCAAGTGAATAGCCGGTCACGTTCACGGGTCCGGCACTGTCCCGGGACTCCCTCCTCGTCGGGGCCACGCGCCTCATGATCGACGTGCATCACGTCCTCCTCCGTGTCACCGCCTCCAGCCCCCAATGGGCGGTCGGGTGCATCCTGCCCACCAGCTCCCCTGCCCCCTCCCTCCACCGGACGTTGTCCCGCATCTCCTCCCCTTGCACCACCGGCCGGGGCACATCGAGTCCACGCTCTGCTGCGTACCTGCCAACCCTTTCCATCTGATCAGACTCGAACTTCTGTTGAGTTTGTCGTGCGATCTCATACAACGCCTCGTCGCTGACGTCCTTGCTGTAGTTCATCTGGATGAACTTGAAGTGCCTTGTGGCCTGGTACTCAGTCCCCTGTAATACTTCACCCCCTTGTTGTCGACCTTCTGACCGACGACACGGTACCGATACATAGGGGAACAACCCTTGAATGTCTCCTGCACATTGTCCGGGGCAGGCTCACGCTGGCGCCGTTGTGACCTCCCCATGGCGACTGCCCTTTACCCTGCTTTGAAGCGATGAGGCCTTGCCACCGCATCCCCCCCCCCCCCCCTGACCCAACCCCCGCACCCTGCTGCCCGCTGTTTGTGTCCCCCCCCCCCCCCCCCCACCACCAAGTTCTCAGACTCGCCCGAACACCATTGCACAACATGAAACGGCCGCCGAACAAACGCGTTCAATCACGTTGAATGTCCTTCAAACGCGTCGAATCGCATTTAATGCCGTTGAACTAAGAATTCAATGGCGTTAATCGACATCACTCGTGCAGATTCTCCACCGACATCGACCACGCTCCACTGCTGCTCCCGCTCCGATGCCGCTCCCGCTCTACTCCGCTCCAGCCGCCAATTCTGCTGCTCCGCCTCTCTGCTCTCTCTCTCTCTCTCTCTCTCTCTCTCTCT